TATATATATATATATATATATGTATACATATAAATAAATAAAAAAAAATAAAATAAAATAAAATATAAATAAATAAATAAATAAAATAAAATAAATAAAATAAATAAAATAAATAAATAAATAATGATGATCCTTCTTACCCATCAAGAATAGGTACCCTAAGAGGAGCATCAGGTTTTCTTGGTGGAGGAGTTAGGGTATTTAATAATTCAAATAAAGTTGGCTCTTCTTCTTTATACCAACTTCCTCTCTTATCATAACAACTACTACCTACACGGGATACGTGCTCCTGTATACATATATACATATTTATTTATTTATTTATTTATTTATTTTATTTATTTATTTTATTTATTTATGTAGATGCATCCATGGGTGCATACATATAAATAGATATATTTTCTCTATATAAATCCTCTATACTACATAACTACCAACAACAACAACAACAACAACATACTACTACTACTACTACTGCTGCTCTTGCTCTTGCTGCTCTTGCTGCTGCTGCTGCTGCTGTTGTTGCTGCTGCTGCTGCTGCTATTGCTGCAGTTTACCTTAAGATTTTGTCCAGCTAATCCAGAGATAGGAATATAATTAAGATTTTTATTGTGAATAAATCCGCAAGATTGGAAGAAATTCTTCGTTTTTTTTATTATTTCTCTGTACCTTTCTTCGCTCCATTGGCATGTTGATTCATCCATCTTATTTACTGCTACTATTAATTGGCATACACCTAACAATATAATAATAACAGCAACAGCAGCAGCAGCAGCAGCAGCAGCAACAATGAGCAATAGTAGAAGCAAACAGGAAAAAAAATAACAAAGAAAGCTATAAATTTATACATATATAATGTATGAACAAGAAAAACAAACATATAAAATGCACAAAAAAGCACAATAAATAAATAAATAAACAAATAAATAAATAAATAAATAAATAAATATACCTAAAGTTTTAGCAAGAAGAGTATGCTCTCTTGTTTGTCCTCCTTTCTCGAATCCTGTCTCAAATTCTCCTTTCCTTGCAGATATAATTAATACACCTACATCTGCCTAAATAAATAAAAAAAAGAAAAAAAAAAAGAGAAAAAAGATGTATTCATGTATGTAGGACTCCTTAGATACATGCATATACATACGTACATGCATGCAAGCAGAAAAACGAGCAACAAACACAGCAGAAAATGCAACAAACACAGCAACAAATGCAGCAAAACAGCAGCAAATGCACCAACACAGCAGCAGCAAATGCAGCAACAGCAGCAGCAAATGCAGCAACAGCAGCAGCAAATGCAGCAATACAGCAACAAAATATAGACACAAAAAACTAAATAAATATATACCCAACATACACAAACCCTAGACACCTATCTATCTGCATATCCATGTACGCATGCATGCATAAGCATATGCATATGTATATGCATATGCATAAATAGATAATAAATACATGCATGAATATATAAATAAATAAATAAATAAAATAAATAAATAAATAAATAAATTACCTGTGCTGCTCCCTCAATCATATTAGGTACGAATGCTTTATGCCCAGGAGCATCAAGAAGAGTAAATCGGCGATCGGGTGTACTGAAGTATGCACGTCCTACCTCTACTGTCTTACCCTGTATAAGAAAAAAAAAAGAATAAATAATTATATTTATTTATTTATTTATTTATTTATATTTATTTATATTTATATTTATTTATTTTGCTTATTTTATTATATCTATTTATTTTATTAAGGGAAAGAAAAGAAGGAAAGAAAAAAGTAATTATACCAATTAACCAAACAGCAGCAGCAACAACAACAATAAATAAATAAATAAATTAAATAAATAAATAAATAAATAAATAAATAAATAAATTACCTTTTGTCTTTCTTCTTCATTAGTATCCATAACAAATGCAAGGAACCATGAATCTCTATTCTTTTCCTTTGCTTCCCTCTCGTACTTTTCTATAGTTCGCTGATCTACACCTCCAGTTAGATAGAGAATATTACCACAAGTTGTACTTTTTCCTGCATCTACATGACCAATAAATACAATATTTAAATGAGGACGTGGATCTGGTTCTCCTTTTGTTCCTGCTCCTCCTTTTCCTTGTATAGCACCACCACCTATAGATCCACCTAATACTCCTGATGATGATGATAGGTCATCTTCCTCTATTTCTCCTTCTACTCCTCCTGCTGCTCCTCCTGCTGATCCTGCTGCTGCTCCTGCTGCTGCTGCTGCTGCTGCGGGAGCTGCAGAGGTGCTTGAAGGGGCAGCAGATGCTGCATCTGCTACTATTTCGTCAGCTGGATACACAACAACAGCAACACCAACAAGAAACATATAAATATATTCATGCATGCATTCATAACTACAAGAAATAAGAATAAAATATACATCTATGGTGTATGGTGATGTATGCTGCATGCGGTATACAGAAGAGGGAGGAGAGGGGGGGGCGGGGATAGTAAATACTAAAAGTGTTGGGGTGTACCTTCATCTTCCCATGTCTTCTCATCAACAGAAGCAGCTTCCATGCCTTTGCATAACTCTTCCATCTGTTGCTGCTGTTGCTGCTGTGGCAGCTGCTGTTGCTGCTGCTGTTGCTGTTGCTGTTGTTGCTGTTGCTGTTGTGGTTCAGAAGGCGTCGATCTAGCGGCAGGAGTCGCAGTTGATCGATCGTCGCAGTTTTGCGGCGTATAGATAAAAGGTTGCCCTGAAGTAATAAAAATGAAGAAAAGAAAAGAAAAAGATGAAAAAGAAGCAAAAAATAAACAGATCAACAACACGATTCTATACAAGCCGTGAACAGCTCTCGGTCAGGATCAGGCATACAGACACCGCAATAAAGAGAAAACGACTTCGCAAAACAAAAGAAATCCATTGATTCTTTGATTTTAACGGAGAAAAAGCAGAAGATATCCAGTAGAAAAGGATACATGTGACGGCATAACCCGTCGGCGGCCGCGGCGGCGGGGAAACAAAAACTTACCAGGTACAAATACCGGGGCGTTGGAGTTAAGAGAAGACTTCGACATTGTGTTAATGTATAAAATGAAGAGAAGTGTTACAAATAAATAATGAAATGAAGAAAACCGCCCGCCCCTCGGCGTGAAAAAACACCCAACACCCCGCTCAGGTGTACAGGCAGGTGTGGCGGTGCCTTTTCAATACGGCGATCCTCCAATTAGACGAATGGCAAACTAAAATATAACTAGAAGAATAAACCAAAGAAATAACCTTCTTTTACAATGTCCAAAAGGGTTTGCAAGAATTCAATCAAGAAAGAAGAGCCATAAGAGAGGTATATTATACCATGGTGACACTGCTGGGGCTGGCTGATTAATATGAATATTGCAAGTACCTCACCAACGATCAAGCCATCGCTTCCTTCCTTTTTTATGCTTCTTATCTCTTGAGAAGTTCTTTTTTAATTATCTTCCCCTTTTATCAACAATAAATGGCCATTTCCGTCATTTTCATTCCTTAGTCATGTATGCAGAAGTATATAACTTGTTGCTTAGCCGACCATCGAATATCGAACAGCCAAGGGAAGCAGAAGGAAGAAGATAAAAAAAAAGAGGAAAAAAATAAGAAATAGTAATTAAATATAATTTATAATTATATTATAATTTTATATATCTTAAGAGTAGCCATCAGCAACAATTCATTTTTCTTCCCTTTTCCTCTTTTTATTCAATATATAGCCCTATTGCATGCATGCATGCATTGAAGTATCTCTCCTTATTCCTTCGTAAGTTGTTATAATATTTATCTTCTTATAAAGAGCAGCAAAAAGGATTTATTTGCTGCTGTGTCTCTGCAGCACCAAAAGAAAATAAATTTACATACAGCAATATATAGATCTAAGGAAGAATAGGCATATATGTATATACACATATACATAGTTAGTTATTATATAGTAATAAAGAAAAAGACCTTCTTTCTCTTATTAGTTCTTCTTATTACCCCTTAGCTTCCTCTTTATTATACAGACTTCTATAGAGAAAAAGGAGAATAAATAAATAGTAATAATATTATTATATTATTTTTTTCTTCTTATAGATTCTCTGCCTACAACACTTATTAGAAGGGAGGACGCACAGCTCCCTTTGCTGCAGCATTTGCTGCATTTGCTGCAGCATTTGCTGCAGTTGCTGCTGCACCAACTGCAGCAGGAGCAGCCAGCCCCAAGATTACCCAATGCATGCACTAGCAAACAATATAAGAGAATTGCTACTAGCATTTATATAATACTATATGCATGCATGCATACGTGCATGCATGCAAATATTAGTAAGCCTGTAATATATGTTTAGGGTTTAGGGTCTAGGGTCTAGGGTCTAGGGTTTAGGGTTTAGGGTTTAGGGTTTAGGGTTTACTACTAACAGAATATTCCTTTAAGTGCAGAATAAAGGTGCATAAGGGAACACTTCTGCTATAGTTTTTTTTATGCATGCATGCATGCAAATGCATGCATGCAAATGCATGCATGCATAACAGTTCTTGCATGCAAATTCATGCATGCAAATGCATGCATGCATGCAATTAGCAGCAGCTGGTTACCTTTGTTGTTGTGTATACAGTATAATATTCTGTATTTATTTATACAATAAGAAATAAAAGGAAAATAAATAAATATATTTATTAAATATATTTATTTATATTATTTAAATATAATATACTAATAAATAATTAAATTATTTATTAGGAAAAAAGAAGAAAAAAAACACATGTATTCCCTGTAGTTCTTTTTTCTTCTTCCTTCCTTAGTTTATCCAAGAGGGAGGAGGAAGAAAACTATATTTATAATTGAATGCTTAATTAAATAATATTAAATAAATTAATTAAGGAGTTAAATAAATAATTAATAATAAACAAATTATTTATTTTTCCTTTTTCCTCCTAGTAATTCAATAGTTGGCACAATAGGTGTACATACACCTCAAGAAAAAAAGGATAAAATTTATTCAATTAAATAATTCTTTACTTATTTACATTTATTCATTGTTATTTTATATTATTATAAAGAGCAATATATTTTTTTTATTTATATACCTATTAGTTTATTCTTTTTCTTCTTATTATTTGCTGTATGCAAGATGACCAGCAAGAAAAGAATAAATAATTGAAATAATATATTTTTTTTTCTAATTAAAATATAATAAATAAAACAAATAAAATAAATAAATAAAATAAATAAAATAAATATTTAAGGTAAATAATCATAAGTGTAATCAAAGAAGAGCGCCATAAATTACCTGAAGAATATTAACTGTAGATACACCGCAAGGGATAAACAAAAGAAATGCAGAAAAACAAGAAATTTATTTATTTTTATGACTCAGTTAAGAATAATAATTAATTTAATTATAAATAATAAAATAAATTAATATAAATAAATAATAATAAAGAGGTGTTTATAAAAAAAAAAAAAATCTACGTGACCTATTCAATGATAAAATAGGAAAGAAGAAAATAATTCCTTCTGCATGCAAATGAATTGTTCATTTCTTTTTTCTTCTTTATATTTTAAATAAATTAAATTAAATTAAATTAAATTAAATTAAAAAAGAATAATTCTCTTAATTTAAACTAAAAGGAAAAAAGGAGAAAAGGAAAAACAAATAATAATATGAATGTGTGTTGTATGTGTGTGTATACGTGAGCTGCCTATACACCTGAAATGAATAATTATTATTATGATTATTTGTTCTTTTTTTTGTTTATTATTATTTAAATAACTACATAATAAATAAATAATTAAATAAGTAACTAAATTTAATCATTTAATTATTTTTTTTATTTCTTTTTATTCTCTCAATGATGCTGCTCGGGTGTATGCACAGCTAGCTCATGTCTATTTATACAGCAACATAAATAATAATTCTTTTGTTTCTTTCTTTTATTTATTATTTTTATTTAATTAATTTAATTAATTAAGCATAAAAATAATTAATTTATATATATTTTGTATCCATAACACAGCAACAACTGCAACAACAGCAGCAACAGCAGCAAAGCAGCAACAGCAGCAACTGCTGCTGCTGCTGCTGCACAATGACAGCCTGAGGTGTCACTGCAGCAACGAAAAGGAATTAAATGAATAAAAATAATAATAAATAAGAATTGTCTTTATTTAATTCTTTTATTTATGCAATAAATATAATAAAAAGAATATAAATAAATAAATAAATAAATAAATAAATAAATATTCTTATTGACTTACAATATTGACGAACTTTCTTGTCTATTAGAGCTGCCTATACACCTGAAATTCCTCTTATAAATAATCCTTTATAATACATAAATATAAATAAATAAATAAATAATTATACATAAGTATATATTAATAATATATATTATTATTATTACTATTAATATATAATATATAAATATATTATATATAAAAAAGGATGGATAAAGAGGACAATAATATATCCCCTTTTGCTGCTACTAAACCCTGCAGCAGCAGCAGCAACAGCAGCAGCAGCAGCAGCAGCAGCAAACCCTCAACCATTTCCCTTCTTGCTGAAGAAGAGGGGGGCCCCCTGCTGGGGGCCCCTCTGCTGCTGCCCCTCTCTTTTGTTGACTTGCTGCCTGGGTCTTCCCCTAAGCATGATGATATCCCCTGCAGCAGCAGCAGCAGCAGCAAAAGCAACAACAACAGCAACAGCAGCAGCATCACCAACACCTGCAGCAACACATGCACCAACAGCAACAGCAGCAGCAGCAGCAACAGCAGCAGCAGCAGCAGCAGCAGCAGCATAGAGGATCGTCCCCGTGTACATTTTAATGATGATGATGAGGAATGGCTTCTTACAGAAGAAGAAGAAGATAATTATTCAGAGGAAATGTCTACTGCAGCAGCAGCAGCAGCAGCAGCAGCAACAGCAACAGCAGCAGCAGCAGCAGCAGCTGGTGCTGGGTGGCATGCTGATTATTATGATGAAGACGAAGAAGAAGAAGAGGAAGGGGAAGAAGAGGAAGAAGAGGATCAAGAAGCTGCTGCTGCTGCTGCAGCTGCAGCAGCAGCAGCAGCAGAGAGGCAATGGTCTGCTGCTACAAGGAGGAGGAGAGATAGGAGTCCTCATCTAGCATATTGGAGTGTACATACACCTCATAGTCCCGCAGCAGCAGCAGCAGCAGCAGCAACAGCAACTGCTGCTGGTGCTGCAGCAGTTGCTGCACGTGCATGCAGAGAAGAAGGAGAAGATGGGGGTTGTATATTTGACTACTATTCTCCTGCTGCTGCTGCTGCAGTTGCTGCTGCTGCTGCTGCTGGATCTACGTATGGATTTGCTGCACCCCAGAGCAGCAAGCAGCAACAGCAGCAACAGCAGCAGCAGCAGCATGCAGCACACCCTCCTTCCTTAAGAACAGCACTTATACGTTATGCTGATGGCAGCATGCAACGAAGGCCTCTGCATGCACCTGTGTCTCTTAATCAGTGCCAGCCCCAAAAGTCTGCTGTTAGGCTGCAGCAGCAGCAGCAGCAGCAGCGACAGCGACAGCAGCAGCAGCAGCAGCAGAAGCAGCAGCAAGAACGAGGAGGCGGCCTGCATGCAATGTGCAGCTACACGAACTTTGACCATATTTATGCTGCTGCATCCCCAGCAGCAGCAACAGCAGCAGCAGCAGCACCAAGAGTAGCAGCAACCAGTGCAGCAACAACAGCTGCTTCACCTGCTGCTGCTGCTGCATGCAGCCCCAAATATTCCTTTGAGGACTGCTGGGGGGCCCCCCCTCTCCTCCCTCATGGGGGCCCCCGCTTCCTTCGTTTAGTAGATTGTGTCTCCTGTGTATCTAAAGGAGACAAAAGAAAAGATCCCCTTTTGTCTCCTGCTGCTGCTGCTGCTGCTGCTGCTGCTGCTGCTGCTCTTGTTGATGTTGCTGCTGTAGCTATTGATTAATTAAGAAATATTATTTATTAATAAATATGCATGCAGAGAAGATGCATGCATATTCGTATATTTGCTGCAATTGCTGCTGCTGCTGCTGCTGCAGTAGCATGTGCAGCAGCAGCAACAGCAACAGC